AAAAGGAAAAAATATCACATCAGCTTTACTTTCAAACTATTTTTTTTTTTTCTGGCCTTCAGACTCTGTGGTTGCCTGCAGGGTGAAACAGTGCACACGTCTCAGGTCCAAAGATTAGGGCAATATTGACCTGGCAAATATACTTCTCAGAGAATAGTGGGCTGAAATGTGTGGATGCAGTTAGCTTGGGGCTAAATGACTGCTGCTCTTTGAATATGCCAAGACAGTCCTGCACTTTCCAAGAAGAAGTAATTGGGCTGGGTGTGGTGGCCTACACCTGTAATCTGAGCACTTTGGGAGGCCAAAGTGGGTGAATCATTTGAGGTCAGAGTTTGAGATCAGCCTGGCCAACAGGGTGAAATCCTGTCTCCACTAAAAATACAAAAAAAATTAGCTGCACTTGGTGTTGCACACCTGTAATCCTAGCTACTAGGGAGGCTGAGGCAGGAGAATCACTTGAACCCAAGAGATGGAGGTTGCAGTGAGCCGAGATCATGCCACAGCACTCCAGCCTGGGCAACGGATTGAGACTCTGTCTCAAAAAAGAAGAAGTAATTGGATCAGGCAGTGGGAAGTACAGATGGAGCCTTTGGGATGAGATCAAGTGGAGAATTCTCCTTTGGAACTGGTTTCTAATATTTCCCAAAAATGTAACACCCAAACCAATCATGATTGAATATCTTAACATGAACTGCTAGGTGTTAATTTTAATGTGGATTAGAAAAAGCAATATAGGCTGGGTGTGGTGGCTCATGCTTGTAATCCCAGCACGTTGGGAGGCCGAGGTGGGCAGATCAGGAGGCCAGGAGTTCGAGACCAGTCTGACCAACATGGTGAAACCCTGTCCCTACAAAAAATACAAAAATTAATTGAGTGTGGTGGCGAACACCTGTAATCTCAGCTACTCAGGAGACTGAGGCAGGAGAATCGCTTGAACCTGGCAGGTAGAGATTCAGTGAGCCAAGATCACTCCATTGCACTCCAGCAACCTGGGTGACAGAGTGAGATTCCATCTCAAAAATAAATAAATAAAAATAAAATAAAATAAAAAGCAATACAACTTGCAGTCCAAGTGTTGTGTGATTCTACTGGTGTTTCTAAGATCAGGTGAAAATAGGCAAAGCCGTGGCAATCCAGTTTATGCAAACAAATTCATTCCAGGCTTGATGTAAGCACATGCTCATCAGTATTTTAAACTTGTAAGCGAACTTTCTTCCGTGGTGTTTTTGGAAATACCAGTAGAATGAATAACCATTGCTGTACTCCCTTCATACCCAGGAAACTTCCTTCAGCCCTCTCTCTTTGGGACTATCAGGCTCTGCTGCAGGGGAGAGTGATGAGAAAAGAATGTTGAGCCTACTCTTCCAGAGACACCACACAGAAATGAATGCTGGCGAGTGGACTTTTCTGTGTGCTTAGCCTGCATGGTGGCACCAGCCTCTGAAATAATGCCACAGTGAATGAAGGAAACCCTGCGCCTGTGCCAGAAGTGCCCATGCAGCTGAGCCTCTTGGAAACACAGAAGAGGAATCTATTTCATGTTTGAGTTAGGGGCTGTTTTTTAATAGTGAAAAAAATTAGAGAAATGCAAATTAAAACCACATTGGGATACCATCTCATGCCAGTTAGAATGACGATCATTAAAAAGTCAGTAGACAACAGATGCTGGAGAGGATGTATGGAAATAGGAATGCTTTTACACTATTGGTGGGAGTGTAAATTGGTTCAGCCATTGTGTAAGACAGTGTGACAATTCCTCAAGGATCTAGAACTAGAAATAGCATTTGACCTGGGAATCCTATTACTCGGTGTATACCCAAAGGATTATAAATCATTCTTTTATAGAGACACATGCACACGTATGTTTATTGTGGCACTGCTCACAATAGCAAAGACTTGGAACCAACCCAAATGCCCATCAATGATCGACTGGATAAAGAAAATGTGGCACATATACACCATGGAATACTATGCAGCCCTAGAAAAGAATGTGTTTATGCCCTTTGCAGGGACATGGATGAAGCTGGAAACCATCATTCTCAGCAAACTAACACAGGAACAGAAAACCGAACACTGCATGTTCTCACTCATAAGTGGGTGTTGAACAGTGAGAACACATGGACACAGGGAGGGGAACATCACATATTAGGAATGTCGGGGTGGGAAGCTAGGGGATGAATAGCATTAGGAGAAATACCTACTGTAGATGACGGGGTAATGGATGCAGTCAACCACCGTGGCGGGTGTATACCTATGTAACAAACCTGCAGATTCTGCACATGTAACCCAGATCTTAAAGTACAATAAAAATTATTTTAAAATTCAATTAATTAATTTTATTTTTATTGTTTGATTTATTTTTTTTTTCTCGTGCATCGTCTTTAGAAGTAGACATAGCTAGGATAGCTAGGTATGGATTCGGGTGGTCTTGCCTCTAGATTACCTCTTTTATAAGAGACAGAGCCTCACTCTGTTGTCCAGATAAGAGTGCAGTGGTACAGCCATGGCTCACTGCAGCCTCCAGCTCCTGGGCTCAAGCAATTCTCCCACTTCAGTCTCTCAAGTAGATGGGACCACAGGTGTGTGTTACCACACCTGGATAATTTTTATTTTTTTGACTTTTTTAGAGAAAGGGTCTCACTGTGTTGCTCAGTCTGGTTTTAAGCTCCTGGCCTCAAGTGATGCTCCTGCTTCAGCCTTCTGAGTAGCTGGGATTATATGTGTGAGCCACCACATTGGACTGTTTTTAAATGACAAATAATAATTGTATAAATTAACTGGGTTCAATATGATGTTTTGATACACGTTTACATTGTGGAATGATTAAATCAGACTAATTAACTTATCCTTCACCTTACATACTTATCATTTTTTGGTGATAAAAATTCCTGAAATGTACCCTGTTAATTTTGAAATATGCAATGCTTTATTATTTATTATGGTCACCATTCTGCACACTAGATCACTAAAACTTATTCCTCTTGTCTATCTGAAAGTTTGTACCCTTTGATGAACATTTCCCTTTCCCCATCCACACCCCTCTCTCAGCCTCTGATAATCATCATTCTTCTTTCTACTGCTATGAGGTCAGCCTTTTTAGCTTCCACATATAAATGTGAGATGATGCAGTATTTGTCTTTCTGTGCCTGGTTGATGATTGATTTCACTTAGCATAATATCCTGCAGGTTCATTCACGTTGTAGCAAGTGACAGGATTCCTTTTTTTTTTTTTTTGAGACATCTTGCTCTGTCGCCAGGCTGGAGTGCAGTGGTGCCAGGCTGGAGTGGCAGGTTGCTCCTGCAACCTCCGCCTCCCAGGTTCAAGTAATTCCCCTGCCTCAGCCTCCCGAGTAGCTGGGACCACAGGCATGTACCACCATGCCCGGCTGATGTTTTGTGTTTTAGTGGAGATGGGATTTCATCGTGTTGGCCAGGATGGTCTCAATCTCCTGACCTCATGATCTGCTCACATCAGTGTCCCAAAGTGCTAGGATTACAGGCATGAGCCACTGGGCCTGGCCAGGATTCCTTCTTTTTAATAAAAAGCTAAATATATTCCATTTTGTATATATGCCGTGTTTTCTTTTCCATTCATCGATCGATGGATTCATAGTTTGCTTCTGTATCTTAGCAATGGTAAATAATGCTGTGATGAGCATGGGAATGCAGGTATCCTTTGGATATATTTAATTTACTTTGTGTATATACTCAGTAGTAGAGTTGCCAGATCAGGTGGTAATTCTCCTTTTAGATTTTGATGGAACACCCCTACTGTTTCCTATAATTGGTTGTACGTGGTGGGGATTTTTCATGTTACATTATCAAGGTTTTTTCATTTCGAGGAGTATTCTAGCATTCTTTTCTAAATACAATTTTTAACTTAAGAGTATTGTTTTGTTTTTTCATCCCATATACTATATTGGGCTACTTCTGGGTTTTCGACCATGTGTTTCTACTTTTCAAATTGCAGTATTGAAGGAGTTAAAAGCATACCACCCCAAAATATACCTCTCTGGCATATTGAGTATGTAAGTTAAAGACATTTGAAGTACAGCAGATACTAGAACATCACTCTGACCTACATGCTGTTTCTTTTTTCTTTTTTTTGAGATGGAGTTTTTGCTCTTGTTGCCCAGGCTGGAGTGCATTGGAGCGATCTCGGCTCACCACAACCTTCCCTTCCCAAGTTCAAGTGATTCTCCTGCCTCAGCTTCCCGAGTAGCTTGGATTACAGGCATATGCCGCTAATTGTGTATTTTTAGTAGAGACAGGGTTTCTCCATGTTGGTCAGGCTGGGTTCCCAGCCTCAGGGAATCCGCCCGCCTCAGCCTCCCAATGTGCTGAGATGACAGGCATGAGCCACCGCACCTGACCCATGCTGTTTTTCAAAAGCCAAAGATGCAGTTCCCATGTGAAAGACAGCCTGCCCATACCAAAAGAAAGAGCATGCTTATCCTTAAGGATACAAAGCTGAGACTAAAAGAATTCTGTTAGACTCTTTTACGCTAACTTATCTTTTAAATTTCCCCGCATATTTCAGATGCTTCTTTACAACTTACTATTCTTTGTTCAGTTCAGCACATAACTGCTTCTTTGGGTCTTCTTTTCCTTAGAAGGGCTTCTGTGCCACATAAAATCTGTATTAAATAAACGTATATATAGGCATTCCTCAGAGATATTGTGGGTTGGGTCCCAGACTACTGAAATAAGCAAATATCTCAATAAAGCAAGTCACAGGATTTTTTTTGGTTTCCTGGTGTATATAAAATTTACATTTACACTAAACTGTAGCCTGTTAACTGTGCAGTAGAATTATGTCTAAAAACAATGTAAAGACCTTAATTTTAAAATACTTTATTGCTGCACATCTGTAATCCCAGCTAGTCAGGAGGCTGAGGCAGGAGAATCACTTGAACCCAGGAGGCAGAGGTTGCAGCAAGCTGAGATCGCACCACTGCACTCCAGCCCCGGCGACCTAGCGAGATTCCGCCTCAAAAAAAAAAACAAAAACAAAAAACAAACAAACAAAAAAAAAAACCAACAAAAAAAAAATCTTATTGCTAAAAGATGCTAAGGAAGTGGGCACCTGATGGCCTGATGTTGGAAAAGTGGCATGGACAGACTTGCTTGACTCACAGTTGTCACAGACCTTCCATTTGTAAAAAAACACAGTATCTCTGAAATGCACTCCAGCTAGCTTGGCATGCCTGGACTTTTCTCCTGTTAGTCTTTTGGATGTCGATTTAATTCTTGGGTCCAGCCTAAGAGGATGGAGGTGCAGTTTTGTCTTCCTTGTAATATGGATATCAAGTTTCCTTTAAAACAAGATTAAAGGCGTTTTCTTTTAAAGGTAACATGTTTTAAGAAAAATATTAAGTACTGATAAAGTGTCTTGCAATGTGACACCTGGAGCCTCTAGGTGATATGTGGATATAGCAAAGATCTAGAAGATGGCAAAAGTTAGGCAAACTTATATAATTTACTTTGTTCTGACACCTCTTTCTGCTTTTGGAAACTGCGTGTCCCAGGGTCAACATTGAATCCCCCCTCTATCTTAAACACAGGGGCAGGTGTTCCCCTCTCTCAACTTAACGGTGCCGTGTATCTATCCCTTTAGTTTCCTTTTTTTTTTCTTCTTTAGGCAGATTCTCACTCTGACGCCCAGGCTGGAGTGCAAAGACATGATCTCAGCTCACTGCAATCTCCGCCTTCCGGGTTCAAGCGCTTCTCCTGAGTAGTTGGGATTGCAGGCACGTACCACCATGCCCAGGTATTTTTTTTTTTTTTTTGGTATTTTTTAGTAGAGATGGGGTTTCACCATGTTGGCCAGGCTGGTCTTGATTTTCTGACTCAAGCGATCTGCCTGCCTTGGCCTCCCAAAGTGCTGGGATTTCAAGTGTGAGCCACTGTGCCTGGCCCTAATGGGCTCTTATGGTAGTGGTTCCGTGTGGTTAATTCTGCTTCTGTGTGCCCAAGTCCCGCCTTCCCAACAAGACCTAACCCTGCTTGAGGGGAAGAATGGGGATCTGTATCACCAGCCCCACATAGGGGAAAAGAACCGTCTTTCCCCACCCATTGCCATGTTCATGGCTGAAGCCCCTGTGACAAAAGACAATTAACAAAAGAAAAGCAGAACAAATTTATTTAATGAATTTATGTGACATGGGAATCAGAAAGGAAGTCACAAAGAAACAGGTAAACCTGTGTGTGTGTGTGTGTGTGTGTGTGTGTGTGTGTGTGTGTGTGTGTGTGT